ATGTTAGTTCAGAGAACTTGGTAAATTTCCCAGTTCAAATGTTTTCTTTACTCTCATGACTTGTCTGCTTGATTTTTTACTAATATTTTAAGGAGAAATTCTGTCTTGGTCACTCATGAGAATAAAACAGTGAAATTGAATGTATAAGAAATGAGACTCACTTTGGCTCTGAGAGTCTGAAGTACATCAAGGTAGCAGGCCAACAGAGGAATACTCAAACCATCCACTAAGGTACTGTGCAGCCATTTCATTAAATTTGGATCCTATGGAATAAAGTATGAGTACAATATTGTGACCAGAATAAAAGCAATTATTAGAATCATTTTTAATGACTTTTGTCCCTCCTTTTTGTCACCCAACAGCCTGCCGTATGACTTGTGACTGAAACATCACATGTATGCAACTTTGTCATGGGGGAAAGGTTCTATTCCTTAGTTGTCAAAAAGAAACATTTAGTCCAGTGATCTGCTGGCAAGCAAGAAGTTGTAAATTCTCTCAACACTCAGGTTTACTATATTAGGCCATTACATATGAAACGGACACAGTTTGAGATCAATGGAAAGCAAACCAAACTCACCCATTCTGTTTCACTCAAGATTTGTCTTGTTCTCTTGGTTGCCTTGTCTGTTGTTATACGTCTCATTACAGGCTCATTGGGAAGCTGTAAAGCAGACATTAAATTAGCAAGTAAATGAATTCTGACTCTTTCAACTAAAAGAATTCCACATTTCTCTACAATCCAATTTGTTTGGATGTTTTCCAGGTAAGATGTCAGATCCCTGTCACTCTACGTGCTACATGGCATAATGGGCATGAGCAAGTGATGTCAGATCCTTCCTAATTTTAGCCTTATATAGACCTATTACAGAGACCTATATCAGGTCTGTCATGAGTCTTTTTAAAGTTTCATGGACATTGTAAGTTTAATGAAAGGGCAGCCTCACCACTCACACTACAGTAGCTACAAGAGCCTGACTACAGTAACTGTACTCTATAAGGTAATAATATAAACAAGTCTTACTCCTTCGTAGGTCAATCTTGCTAGTCTCAGGTTTGACAGGACTTTTGTAATTTTGTCAAACAAGACACTCTGCTTAGCACCCCAGCCATTTCTGAAAAAAAAGAAAAATTTACTATGTTTGACTGTGTTGTGGTTCAATGTTAACATCTCTTTTGATTCTTGAAATATGCATCTTGAAAATAAAACAGAAATAAAAATTCAACCCCAGTATATTTCCAGTCATGCACTTAATTTTAAATGAGCTTGTTTCCAGCAGTACAAGGAATACTTGACACAGAAATTTTGCATTGGTGTTACAGCGCTTCAGGCTGCGTCCATTGTGACTTGTGTCCGGCGGTTGCGTAGTTAGCTGCATCTGTTTTATAGGTATCCAGTTGTTCTGCCCAAGAGTCAAACCACCCGAGACCTTTCTGCCCAAATTTTGAAGTAACTGTGCCCGATGTATATGTTATCTTATCTACGAGTTGTGTAGAGTTCTTTAAAATGGTATCATAAAATAAAACTAGTGTTTTATGAGTTTTTGTAATAAAATACAACATGAATGGTGTGATGTTTTTTTCTGAGTTGTATACTGACACCACAACCGACTTTTTACCTCAAATATTTGGCCTCGATGTGTCTATTACATAAAAAAAAAAAATGATTTCACTTTTGATCACAGAAGTTCCAAAGAAGTTAAATATCCCAGCGGTTGAATGAGCTGTTGTTTTGATAACACGGTCAACAAATATCTATAAACATTACTAAAAGAAATAAAAAATGGAATAACGCTTAATCTCTGTAATTTGATGCACTGTTTGTTCGTCGGGCGGATCGACTTCCATTCTCAGGCGGATCGACTTAGGGCAGAACGGCCGCAATTCGATCTATAACTACAGTATTTATGGACTTGAGTCAAAGTGAGCTTTCTCTCCTGCTTCTTTTACCTTGGTAGCCTATACGAAGCGATGTTGCTTGAATCTCCAAAAACGAAAAACAGCCACATTGACACTGACAGTTGTCACAAATCTGTCAACTGGTGTCGTCCGCCCGTGATGACACTTTTCTTCATTTTATAGCAATAACAAATATTACAACACAACCTTACCTGGAAATTTGCTCTTCCCATGTGTCTGGAGTCTTCTTACTAGACACAGTGCTCACAAACTTTTCACATTCAGCCATAACTGTCTTAGCTTTTGCAGTATCATACATGATGTTGGCAGAATAACATGGAACAGCCGGTTCGCATACATCGATTTCCTCATCGTCTGCTAAAGGCAAGTTCTCTAGATCTTCTCTGGGCAGAAACAAAGTTTTGACTGGACGTACTTTTGATGCATCGGGATGTGCTGACCATGGCTTGGCATACGAGTGGTCGAGATGAATGATTTCCGCGAGAGATTGAATATCTCGAATGACCCCTCTCTCGTTGTAGTGAGAAAACGTCGACATTTTGTTTGCATGTAGCTTGATAGCTAACGCAGGAATTATGGGTAAATCCCTTGACTCTGAGATATTTTGTATATTCGTACACAAATAGGGATAGTTCGGCTAAGTAATGCCGCGGACCATTCAAACCCTTCGTACGCTCGCCCCAGTCCTTCAGGATCTCCAAGGACACGTTGACGGATATAGTGCACGCTTGGGAGATCACCCTGGGAGATCGCCGGTAATTTGTACAGTTGTGTGACTTATGGAACCTTGACAAACCGTTTGAGATATAAAAGTGGTCAGTAGTGGACTTACGGCCTTTGGAATGGCGGCAAGTTAGCACGTTATTTTACGGGATATAATGGATCATTAATCAAGCGCAAATCTCATGACGTGGAAACATGACACGATGTATCTGAGGAGCGTGACGTGTCTGGCGTAAATAGACAAGTTTGGACAGAGGGAAGTAACTGAGAACTGAAATGAATAAAGGTTAGTCTCAAACAAAACATATCTTTAGAAGAAATGATACGTAACTTGAATTATAATCTTACAAATCTCTTATATAAACTTATTTAAGATTTAAAATATTTACGCTTCAGTTGCAAAGATCAAAATTGCATAATCTTCACTGAATGTAGTATCACCCATGGCTAGTCCCGCCCTATTTCCTCTCTTTGTTTTTATTGTGTATGTGCATGTATGTATTTGTGTGTGTATTGAGGTAGAATGTCAAGTAAACATGTCCTGTGTGTGTTTCAGGCTCTGGACGGGTAAGGTAATTTAAAATGTACCAATTTTATGTTGAACTTAGTAATCTGCATAGACCTCTGTGGCTTGTCTGTTTTGTTTACCCATTTCAGGTCTCAAGGGAATTCCCAGCTTTATCTTTTAAAAATTATGCATACATTTGGATGTGAACAAGAAGGAATATAAAGGACACTTTTCTATATTATTATCACTTAGGGTGAAATGAGTAAACAAAACATACAAACTAAGAAGTCTATTGATGCAAACTTAATGAAAATTTTATTAACTAAAGTTGTTTATTAATTTAGTCAGTCATTTATCATTCTTTGTTTTGTTGTAAAAGTTGAGCAAGACTGGCTGCCTTTTTATAAAGCATTGGATGTTATGGGAGAAATTAACAACCTCTAACTTATGGGATCAGAACCTCTTATACTGGAAATCAAGTTCCAAAAACATAAACAGAAATGTTTTCCACAATTTGTCTTTTCCTCACTCAAGAAGGAGTAAACTTGTTTTTTAAGGAGATAAGTAAATTTGAATTCATGAGGAAAAACAATTAATATTTAATGGATTCCAGGTGAGTCCTGTTAGTCATGACTAAAATTACAACACATTTTGTTTTTTCAAATGCTCTTAACACCATGAGCAGTGTTCTCCCTTATTTCACGCATGACAGGTAAAATAGATTTTCAAACTGGTAAAGCGATCTCTTTACCAGTTGAATTTTCAAGAATTCCAAGCAATTTTAAATAGTAATAAGAGGTACTACAGGCGCTAAATGTTACCAGTTACTGCCTGAAAAGGAGAACGCTGCATGAGCAAAAACACTGCCATAAGCTTAATGTAGTGCATTAATTGCAACATTAATGTCCACAAAAAATTCTGTGGCTTCTTAATTTCATCAACACAGCTGTAAGATACTGTATTTCTTTTATTCACTGTAAGTCTTTTGAAGGTCTCATTATGAAGAAAATCTGTAAGTATTTTTTCTTGCCTTTTCACCCCGCCCCACTACAGTTGTATTTCAGTATCATTTGTTTTATGATTATTGTTGTTTTCCTAGCTCGACTTCCCTGCTTTGGCTTGGATATCGGAGGAAGCTTGGTCAAATTAGTGTACTTTGAGCCATGCAATTTACAAATAAACCGTAATGGACAAGACAAAGTTGGCTTGGAGGCAATACAAGATTTTATCAAGTCAAATGTTAATTATGGAGAAACAGGAGCTAGAGATGAAAGGTTGGCAATGGAAAATGTGGTTTTGGGAGGAAGAAAAGGACATTTACATTTTATTAGATTTTCAACTGATGTAGTGGGAAAATTTCTTTTACTTGCTGAAGAATTAAATGCATCAGTCCTTAATGACAAGGTGTGTGCCACTGGTGGAGGAGCATTCAAATTTGAAAAGGATTTTAAAGAGGTATGTCTTTGTTTTCAGCTAGATATTACTTTTTATTGTTTTTCAAGAGGGCTTGGAAATGAATCCTGAAGTCTGATTAGTGCGAAAAACACCTTCCTGAAGAGAAACTGTTTTTTTTTTCTCCAATTTTTTCCAGAAGCAACATCTCACTAATTAAGCTCTCTGTTCTCATTAATCAATGCTGTTTTAATTTTCCAAGCCAGCCTTAAATCTCTGAACATCTAAACCTTGCAGATCCTAGGTGTACAACTTGTGAAGTATGATGAACTTGAATGTCTCATTCATGGCATACACTTCATCAACTCTTCCTGCATAAATGAATGTTACTACTGGAACAACCTGCACTGTTTAGAGAAGTCAGAAAAAGTACCGTATAACTTTGACTTGAATCCTTATCCTTATATTGTGGTAAACATTGGTTCTGGAGTCAGCATTTTGTTTGTAGAATCTGCAGAAAAGTTTACAAGGATAAGTGGTACCAGGTAAAACTTTCAATTACTTGCTATTACTCTGTGACAGTCATAGGTCTGCCAAATTGATAATTTTGCAGTACCCATCTTTGCATTATTTATTATAATTTACTTTTACTAAATGCACCATCATAACAACAGATTGTTGTCAAGATTGTGGTCTCCAGGGTTCTCAATAAGTTAGAGAGTTGATGGCTAACTAAATGAAGTAAACAGCCGACAAGTCAACAGCTCCTTCCTAGGGTCTTGGCATGCTCTCATACAAAACATTATTTTTTAATTGTAGAGGCTCTGAAGCGCTATTTTATGTATTGCAGTGAAACCATAATTAAGTGACCTCTGCTAAGCCAGGTCCCAAAGTTAACATCTTATATTTCCCTTGTAATGAACTAAAATTCAGCAGACACCTCTATTAAGCAGAAGTGGGCACTAAAATAAATTGTATTTGGCTAATTTTTATTGTTAAAAACCTCTGTTAAGCAGACACCTGACTGAATTGACAATGTAGTGTGTAAGATTACATCCTTGAAATAGTCAATTAAATGTAATCCATCCAAAAGAAAGAGTGAATGTACCTCGTGTATTATCATGGCTGTTTTGCTGTTATGTTTTTGCATTATTACCAACAAATTAAGGTAATGAACTTGAACTCTGCATAGCTTTGTTAACAACATGGAACTTTATCACAGTACAAAATAAAACATAAATTGTTAATCGTTAACAAATATTGCACAATTTTTACAAACCTCTATTAAGTGGACACCCTTTATTAAGTGGACACTTGGGAAGGTCCCAAGGGTGTCCACTTAACAGAGGTCTCGCTGTATTTTTGAGGTATATGCCAGGAAATATGGCAGTTGGTTGGCTAGGTAAGCATGCTGAAGGAAGAGATTGGAAGAGTGCTCAGTCAGTGAGAGAATGTAAAAGCAAATAATATGTTTTTGTTCAGTACAAGAATGGCTTTAAGAAAATTATTTGTTTGTGAAATTTATTGTAGCAGTGACTTGTTTTAGTTTTTATAATTACAGTTTACTGTTCACAATCACACACATTGCTTCATCAAAAGTAGGCAGCTCAGAAATCAGGTAGCTGGTTTTCCAGCTGATGGCCATCTCTTATTGAGAACTCTGGGTTTCAAACTTCCAGTGGCAGCAGCACTAATTCACCCTCAAACTCCCAGAAGTGATCAAAACATGTTTAACATGTAACTTCTCTTTCAAAAGAGAAATGTAATCATTTGTCTCATGATGCAGTCACTTTGGATGTGGATCACGATGTTTTGACTGCATACTGCTAGTCTTCGTTAGGTACCTTAAGAAGTCTAGCAGTATGCAGTCAAAACAGTGTGATCCACATCCAAAGTGACCACATTGTGAGACAAACAATTACATCTCTTTTTTGAAAGATCCTGGTCTTCATTGCCTGAAGAAGAGTAGCAATATACTGTTGAAATGCTGGGATCCACATCCAATGTGACCACATCGTGAGACAAATGATTATATTTCTCTTTTGAAAGTGTTACTTACCACAATGGCTGACAAAAACCCATTTTACAAAGTAACTTCTCCCTATAAAATCCATGCATTATCAAGCAAAAAAGTAATAAGAATATTCAAACTTTTTTTTTTTAATTTAAAAAAAAAAGAATATTCAAACTTATCAGATCAGACTTATCTTGATGTAATACCAAATTCTTGTAACTAATTTAGGGAAATGTGTAACAGCTAGAGGAGAGAATTAACAGTCAGATCTTGGGAGTTAAAGGGTCAAAGGACACATTGATATTAGAGAATTAAGGTCAGAAGCATGTTAGTTGTGTAATTGGTGATGAAAGATAGGATTTTTTTTGTAGATCAAAGGCTAACCTCTTTTGAACAAAATTGTCTTCCTTTAGTCTTGGAGGTGGAACATTTCTAGGCCTTTGTTGCTTGTTAACTGGCTGCTTGTCATTTGATGAAGCTCTTTCCATGGCTGAAGAGGGTGACAGCACAAAAGTTGATAAACTGGTGCGAGATATCTATGGTGGGGACTATTCTAAGTTTGGTTTACAAGGAGATACAGTTGCAAGCAGGTATATCTCTTATGAACAAGAATAAGTGATTGAGAATTTGTGAAATTTTACTTGCTACAAATTCTCAAATTAATTCAGGCTTCCATATTCCACAAAGCAATAACAGTGATCTCCTACATAAGATGCCAGTTAACCCTTGAACTCCCAAAAGTGATTAACATGTAACTTCTCCCTACAATATTCTTACAATTTCTAGCAAACAGGTGATGAGAATACTCAAACTTATCAGGTAAATGTTGTTATCTTGATCTAAACCCAAATTCTCATAACCAGTTAACAAGGAAGCATAAAGCATCTTTAAAGGAGAATTCATGATCAGATCTTGGGAGTTAAAGGGTTAATACACAATTTTGTGTTTTATTAGTATTTTAAATATTTATTCACCTAGTAATAAGTCCTACAAATTAATAATCATTATGTGTCATTTTATTTTAATGTGAAATTCTGTTTTATTAAGTTTTGGGAAGATGTGCTGTGAACAGAACAGATCTGCAGTGAGCAAAAATGATTTAGCAAGAGCCATGCTTATCACCATAACTAACAACATTGGTTCAATTGCAAGAATGTGTGCTGTCAATCATGTGAGTGCTGTTAAGTGAAACAGTGTTGTGGTGTGTGTTTCATAGACCAACTGTGGCAGTTTAATGTAGTATTGGACCTTGAGAGACAAAGAGGAGGTGGTGAACTACCTCTAACCTAAGGAGAAACAGAAGGGAGGGGAGGGTACAGCTACATATAGGCTAAACAACCTCTGGGGTGTTTTACTAGTCATGAGGATATTAAATTTTGTTTGTAACATTTTCAGAAAGTAGAATGTGTGGTATTTGTGGGCAACTTCCTTCGCTGTAACACAATAGCCATGAAGCTGCTTGCTTATGCAATGGATTATTGGTCCAAAGGAACAATGAAAGCTCTATTTCTGACGCACGAGGTAGGCCTTTCTATGTTGCTTTTGAATCTTGACTTGAACTTATTTTACACAACTAACCAAACCAAAAAATAACAAAAATACAAACAAACAGTAATACCATGGACGCAAGTGGAATAAAGTTATGGAATAATGACTCTATAATTTGTATCATGATGACTACAGTTTATATAATAAACTGAATAGCAGAACTTTAATTGGTTCTTATGTATGATCTATTGGAGGTCAGATGCTTAGATGACATCATCATAGAAAACAAAAATATTCCATGTTGCTGTGGTTCTGGACAGTAGTAGATGACAGATGGTGGCAATGTCAGTGACACAGTCAGCTGCACCTTGTGTGCCAATTTTTTTGTTCTTTCTACATTTTGATGTCAACTATGATCTATTACTGATCAGAGGCATGGCAACATGGGATCTATTTGTTAATGCAATTTACAGGGAAGAATTAGAATTTTAAGAACCTGTGAATGAGCTGTAGATTAAAGATAAAGTACAGATCAGAAAAGAAAAATAGTAATCATTAAATGAAGTCTTTTAAAGGATATGCTTTTATGGTAATGATTCCATTAAGCACCCTTCATTTGTTCCAATAAACACCCGGTCACTGGTAAGTGCCCCCCCCCCCTTGCCTTGAGTTTGTTTTTGTAATAAGCACCCCTAAACATCCTCATTCCAATGGGCAGTCC